CTGTGGGGTCTGTGGGGTTCTATGGGGTCTGTGGGGTCTGTGGGGTTCTATGGGGTCAGTGGGGTCTGTGGGGTCTATGGGGTCTGGGGGTTCTATGGGGTCTGTGGGGTTCTATGGGGTCTGTGGGGTCTGTGGGGTCAGTGGGGTCTATGGGATCTATGGGGTCTATGGGGTCTATGAGGTCAGTGGGGTCTGTGGGGTCTGTGGGGTCCATGGATTCTGTGGGACCCATGGGTTTCTGTGGGGTCTGTGGGGTCTGTAGGGTCTGTGGGGTCTGTGGGGTCTGTGGGGTCTGTGGGTTCTATGGGGTCCATGGTGTCAGTGGGATCTATGGGGTCTGTGGGGTTCTATGGGGTCAGTGGGGTCAGTGGGGTCTGTGGGGTCCGTGGGGTCCATGGGGTCTGAGGAGTCTATGGGGTCCATGGGGTTCTATGGGGTCCGTGGGGTCCATGGGGTCTGAGGGGTCTATGGGGTCCATGGGGTTCTATGGGGTCCGTGGGGTCCATGGGGTCTGAGGGGTCTATGGGGTCCATGGGGTTCTATGGGGTCCATGGGTTCTCTGGGGTCTGTGGGCTCTATGGGATCTATGGGGTCTGTGGGTTCTATGGGATCTATGGGGTCAGTGGGTTCTATGGGATCTATGGGGTCTGTGGGCTCTATGAGATCTATGGGGTCTGTGGGTTCTATGGGATCTATGGGGTCTGTGGGCTCTATGGGATCTCTGGGATCTATGGGGTCAGTGGGTTCTATGGGATCTATGGGGTCTGTGGGCTCTATGAGATCTATGGGGTCTGTGGGTTCTGTAGGTTCTATGGCTCTATGGGTCCATGGGTTTTGTGGGTTCTATGGGGTCCATGGTCTCTATGGGGTCAGTGGGGTGTATGGGGTCTATGGGGCCCATGGGCTCTCTGAGGTCTATGGGATCAGTGGGATCTATGGGGTCTGTGGGTTCTATGGGGTCTGTGGGATCTATGGGGTCTGTGGGATCTATAGGATCTATAGGGTTCTATGGGTCCATGGGTTCTGGGGCTCTCTGGGATCTGTGGGTTCTGTGGGATCTATGGGGTCCATGGGTTCTGGGGCTCAGTGGAGACTGGGATCTGTAGGATCTATGGGGTTCTATGGGTCCATGGGTTCTGGGGCTCTCTGGGATCTATAGATCTATAGGATCTATGGGGTTCTATGGGTCCCTGGGGTTTTTGGGCTCAGTGGGGTCTGTGGGCTCTATGGGATCTATGGGGTCTGTGGGATCTATGGGGTTCCATGGGTCCATGTGTTCTGGAGCTCTCTGGGGTCTGTGGGATCTATAGGATCTATGGGGTTCCATGGGTCCCTGGGTTTTGTGGGATTTGTGGGATCTATAGGATCTATGGGGTTCCATGGGTCCCTGAGTTTTTTGGGCTCTGTGGGATCTATAGATCTATAGGATCTATGGGTCCATGGGTTTTTTGGGCTCAGTGGGATCTATAGATCTATAGGATCTATGGGGTTCCATGGGTCCATGGGTTCTGGGGCTCTGTGGGATCTATAGATCTATAGGATCTATGGGGTTCCATGGGTCCCTGGGTTTCGTGGGCTCAGTGGGATCTATAGATCTATAGGATCTATGGGGTTCCATGGGTCCCTGGGTTTCGTGGGCTCAGTGGGGTCTGTGGGCTCTGTGGGATCTATAGATCTATAGGATCTATGGGGTTCCATGGGTTTTTTGGGCTCAGTGGGATCTATAGATCTATAGGATCTATGGGTCCATGGGTTCTGGGCTCTGTGGGATCTATAGATCTATAGGATCTATGGGGTTCCATGGGTTTTTTGGGCTCTGTGGGATCTATAGATCTATAGGATCTATGGGTCCCTGGGTTTTTTGGGATCTGTGGGATCTATAGATCTATAGGATCTATGGGGTTCCATGGGTCCCTGGGTTTTTTGGGCTCAGTGGGGTCTGTGGGCTCTG